AGCAGTAGCAGTAGCAGAAGCAGTGGTATTAATAGTAGAAGTAGAAGTGGCAGTAGCAGGAATAGCAGGAGGAGTAGTAATAGTAGCAGGAGTAGGGCTTGAGACTTGCATCTCGTACAGACGCGCCTTGCGATAGGAAGCGCAAGCGGCGGGGCCCCCAAAGAAAAGGCCTTCTGTCCGGCACGTCGCGGACGGGAGCAGGGCAATTAAGAATAGGGCTGAGGCTGCATGAGGATTTAGGGGTTCAAAACACGCCTTGCAAGGATCCGGACATCTGACCCAAGGCACTTTGGCCGAACCGAGGTCGGAGGTCTAGTGAGAATGACAGGTCTGGTGAGAATTACAAACTTTGGGCTCGAGGTCAGGTGCAGTCACCCACGTCCCAATAAGATACGGACTAACTACACGACATGTTTTGTGTGAAGACCGCCTAGCCGCCTAGCCTGGGTAACTCACCTGTTGTGGAGGTCGTGTTGCCTCTTTTTGTTGGGGAGGTGGCTGGACGGGACACCCTGGCTCCAAATCGATGCTCGGCAAAAACAGACAATCAAAACGACAACTCCAATGTCCAAACATGCGGTCTACGAATTTTCGTTTACTGTAAAAAATGCAGTAATTGGGGTGTTGGTTGTGGGGCTCGAGGGTTAGGGCATAGTTATAGACATGTTGTGAGGTCATGGTAAGGCTCGGGGCAAAAAGCACCGGAAGTGATAGCTGCTGGGAACCAACTTCGAGTTGTCGTTAAATTGGGCACCTTGGATGCCTCCAAACGCGCAGCCGCATCACCTCTTAATGGAAACCTTTAATGGAAAGTCTTCCAGGAATGATAAGTCAGAAGAGCATGACCCCTCAACCCCCTCCCCCTACCCTGTAATGCCTTAAGGCCCCCCCCCCCCCCACCTCACCAAGTAGAGCCATGGCGAAGTGGTTAGGGTAGCGGTTTGTTTCAAAGGGCCGAGTCCGTTTCTGGCGGAGAATTGCTGGCTTCAGGCATGGGGTGCATCTTGGGCTGGGGCTCTTGTCAATTTGGCAGTTTCGGTATGTCTCGAGGCAGCGGGCTCATGATACATCTGTTTCTGTGCATCTAAACATTTGTGAGTCAAGCTCGAAAGGGTTGGAAGGCTACTCTCTTAAGTCCATGAACCTGAAACCAGCACCCTGCTGACCAACGTCAACTACCCTGCGAAGTGTGGTTTTTGAGCAGCCACGCGGCAGTCAAGGCCAAGTTTGTGCACACACACACACACAGAGGCCAGGTACACATCTACATAAATGTGGCTCTCCCTTTTGATGGCGTGAGCGTGTAAGAGCTTTGATTGATCAGGTTGATTCAGACGCATACCTGGCACAGTAAACACGACACGCAGCGAGGGTGATGGTGCCGGAGGATATGGCTTCAGTGGTGGCGGCTAGAGAGAGGGAACCTTAGATTGATGGGTACATCGATACACCCATTGTTCAATAGTCAGAACTGCTGGCAGAAGTGGAGAAAGTCCTGGCCGCCTTGTTGATTGCAGCACATATCATGTATGTAGTCGCAGGGTTTCGCAGAATGTCCTCGTTCAACACAAAGCTTCTTCAAGGTTTGTGCTGCCTCCTTGGAGAACTTCCGGTAGTTGTTGTTCCCCGCGGCGCGAATCTTGACAAGATATTCGAGGTCGAGTGTTTGTCAGTGAGCAGGCTTTCTTCAAGAGTCGCACTTTCCACCTTGAGTTCCATTCTCTGTTCGAAACCAGCTTAGAAACTCCTGCAGCGCAGAGCACATTACACTGCCTTCGTTTTTGCAAGACATGGGACATGGGATCTCTGATTTCGGATCGAGCAACCGTAGTGGTGCCGCGACCAACCACGAACGCTTTGCCCCTCCCCTTCTTGTGTCTGCAATAGCCATAACCACTACGGCATGTCAGTTGAGTTCATGACAAGGCAGAACGAAAAGGACAGAGGTGGCTTCGGCACACTCAGCAAATCCACATTTTGAGCAATGGCTGCCGCATTGCGGCTGCACAACACTGGGCTGTGGCTAAAGCTTTGGACTCTTTGATACTCTGTGGCTTGGGCAACATGCACCAGTGTCATGCACATGCACCGTCCCATATTTTACAGCTTGGCAGTCTGGCTCGCTGACTCAGATATACATATACAGGTAGGCATCACAGTAGAATACCTGCAGGATTCTGCACTGTAGGCGGCTTTCACGCAGTTTGGGATGCATCCAGAAAGTGGCAAGGTGCTTCAGGACCGGCGGGCGTCGACTGTCCTGCCAGTGCAATAGGTCACTCTGTAGACTGCTAGCTGTCGGTGAAACCCTGCCCGCACATGACTCTGTAATAAATCCTAGCATCTAGAATCTTTCGCCTTCGTTTGCTCACCAACATTCACAAAACAGGTTAGGCTGGAACAACGTTCATATTTTCGCACACGCTCAGCTGAACCTCGAATGCAGCTTGCTGCGCTGAAGGCAGTGCAGTAGGCCACCTCTCATGTCGGTCGGCTCCGGCGTCCTGCAGCTAATCTCCACTGACCCTGGAGCCGTAGCCACTACAGGCGATTGCCACATTCAGGCCTGTTTGATTCTCCGTCATGGGGTTCGGAGAGATTCGACATCCGCTGGCAACTTTACCTCCCCCATGCAATGGTGCTTCGGAGCTTGGCGAGCGCCGGATTTCGGCCTGTACCAGACTCCAAGCATCACCAGCGGCAGAGCACCTGCTGCAAACTTCTCCAACTTCAAGACATTGGCGGTGCAGACAGTTTCGAAAGCGCAGATCCCCACTACAGGTGCGCCCATACCTTTAGAGCCTCCTCAGCTAAGGTTGCACGTTTTGCACAAACGACGTTGTACTGCGTGAACCGCCTTGTAGCCTTGACCAATGTCCTCGAATGCAGGCAGCCAGTCAAGCGCACCAGGAATTTGCCCTTCTTCTGCTTGGCTGCCTCAATGAAGCAGCTGTACCCAAGATCATCCAAGGTGGCCACCATCCACGAGATATCGAAATCTTTCCAAGCATCTTTGGGATCGTTGTTTGCTTCAAAATGCACGAAGCCTACTTTTTCAGACTTCAACGTGGACATGGCCCCCTGGAGAACCAAGGGCTCTGCACCTTCCACATCAATCTTCAGTACATCAATGAAACGGAGGGCTTCCTGGACGACAAATGCATCAAGCTTCATCGCCTTCACTGTCACCGGAGTTCCCTTATGCATGCTGCAGGTTTCCATAGCATCACAGTCGCCAAACTGAACTGTCCCGGTGAAATTGGTGAAGGCTAGATTATGAAAGTGCATTCCAGCCATGCACGGGGGGGACGCCAGCTGCATGGCCTGCGTGGTGCGGCTTAACGTCCTGGGTGAACCATCAATGCAGTGGACAACGGGCATCACTGTGCCGTGGGCACCCTTTGGCACCTTTAGAGGCTTCTCCTTGCAATCCTGGCAAACCCCACAGAATTTGGGTGTTCCCAGCTTCTGATGGGCCTGACCAAGTGATTGCTGATTTAGCGCAGCACGAGGCTGCCATCGCTCGAACACCCGAGCAGAGGAATATCCCTTATTGCAACCAATGTCAACCACAACAGCGGCCCTGCTCTGCTGTTCTGGTGCCAGATAACTCCGGAGCCAAGACCAGCTGGCTTCTGCACAAATCCCAAAATATCCAGACAAAAGTTTTGCCTGCGCATCGCAGTTTTTGGCCGGGAAGGGCTTGGTTTTGGCCGCTGGACCAGATAATCCAGCTGCGGCACCCGTGGTAGAGGAACCGTCTCGGTCGAGCTCATCGGTCGCCGTTGTGCTCTGCGCAGGCTCACCTTGGACAGGTTCGCCCTGCAATGTGTCATTACCGTCACTGGGATCTTTTGTCTCTCCACGCGCGGTCGGAACATCCGGAACCACTCCTGGATCCTCCGGATTCAGGCTGCCGGTCCGTGAGGCTGGTGCCGCAGCAATCTTCTGCAGGCCAGCAGTGGGCACTGCCAACATGCCCCGGGAAGTCCACCCGATCACGGCACCCAGGGCCAGCCCCACAGCCATGCCACCATAGCGGGAGAAGTTGGTTCTACAGGCTGACGGAGCAGCCATCTCGGTAGCAATTTCCTAACTTGCCTAAAACGAGGTTCTTGAGAGATGCGGATGCTTCAGCATAGGCTCCTGGCATCTGAATTCTTCTCCCAGCCGCTTAAATCAAGCTAGCAACCGAAGAGCACTCACTAACAACTGCTTTTTTCTCAAAACCTAGCACTGCCAAAGTAGAGCTACACGGGACGTGCCTGCGCGGCCGTGTAGCACGAAGAACCAACGAAGCTAAACCAGAGGACCGAGTAGATCTGGCAGGGCCTGCCGTTAGACTCTTGCTGAAGCTGCATTGAAAGCTGATTCCCAAGCCATTGTCTCAAGCCTCTACAGGGAGCGGCTTGCTCGTGGATTGTCGCAGCTCCGCAGCACTCTTCGGAGAAACTTGCGGAAGATCACTGCATGACTCATTCATTCTCATTCCTCCAACCGCTGAAGCCTCTCCACATGAATCACTAACCCGGGACTTGGCCACTCACCTCCATCCAAGAAAACAGCAGCTCTTCCAGCATCTCTGCCAGAAGCTGGGGCCAGCACCTGCAGGCCGGCGGATGCCGCAGGGTTCTAGAAAAAACCCTAAACCCTGAACCCTAAACGCAACTTTAACCTACCAAAACCTGCTTTTTTGTAGGGTTTTATTAGAAACCCTGGGATTTATAGGTTCAGGTAAACCCTAAACCTTCAAACCCTTGTGCCCTAAACCCTTCTGCAGCTGGGCTGACACTCAGAGCCCAGCTGCAAAAAACCCTAAACCCTGAGCCTTCAACCCTACACCCTACCTGTAGCCGGAAAACCCTACCTTTTTAGTGATCCTTATCATGGTTTCTATATGTAGTAGCTGAAAAAGGTAAGTCTTTTGGGCCACAGGTACACCCTAAACTGGCGACCGGCAAGGCCAAGCATAGGAGAGCAGAACGAGCAGAGGGTAGCGGAGCGTCGCCTCCCGGGCAAAGGCCGAGCCAAGAGCATTTCTCAGCGCCGATTCCCGAAGTTCCTCTCCGGGCAGCCACCTCGCAGCTTCGGGCTTTAGGGTTTATAGGGTTTCAGCACTCACTCTCGGACATGCCTAGGCGAGGTTCCTGGTACACGACGACGGCACTTTGGCTTTAGGGGGGACGGGTTTCAGCACTCACAACTGGGACAAGCCTGGCGAGGTTCCAAGTACAGCGACGACAGCACATTGGCCAGGGCAGGCATATTCACCACACCCAAACTCACTCTAATTAAATCCCAACACTACTCGTCCATCGCATGAACGCCTTCCACATGCCACGACCACAACGTTGTCATCCCAATCTTCGCCCCCTATACGGCTCCATTGCCAAGACTTGCATATGCAGCACGACAGCATGCCGAGGGGGACGGGTTTAGGGTTTAGGGTTTAGGGGGATGATTTGGTTTCCTGTAGCTGATCTGGACAATTTTGCGCTGCAGTCACCGCCTGGAGCTCTCTTCTGAAGGGGTTCGGAAAGTGCTGGTCCTGGAGGGAAACATAAACAAGTCCGAAAACGCATGCGCATGAGACATGGGCACTGGTTGTCTTGGCTCGTTAGGGACCAGACTACTGCAGCTTCACTGCGACGCAGCCTCGTAGATTTTCTCTGCTCGACCACCCTGATTAAGCCCAGGCCTTCTTGAAAGCGACATTACCTATAGTCTCCATGGGGATACCTTATAGAATCCTTAATATATAATTGGTTAAACCAAAAAAAGGAACTACAATGGAGACTATAGGTACATTGGGCAGAGGCATCTGCGGCAGAGCTCCTAGGGAAATGTATCCACCTCACCAGCGGCAAGCCAAAGTCAAGCCGTCTAGCCGCGGAGCTGCAAGTCCTCGTGCCGCGAGGGGTGTCAAGCAAGCGAGAGACGACATTTTGAGGAGCTTGCCATGCGTCTGAACCCTTTCCCCTTCCCAAAACAGGACAGCCCAAACCACAAACAGAATACATGTGCGTCGTGCCACGAAGCAAATCCCCTTTCTCACTATTGAGTTGCTGTGAGCAGCGCATGCGGCATTTCTTCTTTTCCTGTGCTGGGCAACTTGGCAGAAGAACCTAGGAGCATGACTCCGAGAAACCCTAGGAGAGCCATTTTGTCATCTCCGAAATCCTCCTCTAGAATCTACAAGCTCCACTTAGGAGCTTCAGGGTTACATAGATGCTGTCGGGATTTCTTTTCGACACGTCAAGAAACAAATCTGACCAATTACACCAGAATCATTCCCCCGAACAGCCCACTCCCTACTATGGTTGGCAGTTAGTAACAGTTAGTAAGTCTCACAGACGGTTTCAGGTGGCGACAACGGTTAATACTCGACCCGCCCTCCGCATAGGCCTGTTTGCACTCTTGAATGGGAGTCCTTACTTGGTAGAAAACCAAAAGGGACGACAGTCACGGAGATTCCCCCTCATTTCTGACCCCTACTTCATCAAATAAAGCCGCAGCCCAGCTCTGCCAGGAAATGATTCATTAGCTATGCACACGTGCACACGACATGCACGCACAAATACCTACATGCATACAGGCAAACAAGCCTGGACTCCCTGCACACATGGGCAGGCGTCCTTGGTCATCCAGGACACGATCAATGAGAAGAAAGCGCGCGCGGTCTCCACCTGGTCCACAGTAAAAGGCCAACTTTCTGACGGCCGAATCGAAACCAGCAAACGACCATACTTCTCAACTGCACTTCTGGACACAGGAAGAATTAGAATATTCAGATCAATTGCAAGGACAATGGCCTTCGCCAGACTTGCACACCAATGCAGCTACTGTATTGGTGCCAAACTGCAGTCTGCAGCAGTTGAAGAAAAGCGCTTCACACAGCTGTGCTCAGTATCCTCGTAGTCAACTACAAAGACCATCAAATCCAACAGTCAAAGCTTTCCTTGGAGGTGCCTCGATGTCGACCTGAACGACCGCAGGCTTCGTGCCATGATCAGCGGACCGCAGCGCGGAATTGAGCAGCCATCTCAGGAACTGCTCCTTCAACAGGAGATGGATCCATGCCAGTCATCCTGTCTTTGCTTACCAGATACTGCTGCAAGCGCGTACAGATTTTGAACGACGCATCGGGTGTCACACCATAGCTATCTGGCGTCCAACGCTGTGCGTGCGAGCAAAACCTTTGTAACAACTTTTTCGGCTGTGCTAACAAATCGAACTTGCAGCGAGCTTTTCCTACGACAGCTGCCGACCAACCGAGAAGCGTGCACAGACTGACAACTTCAGAAAAAGCTGGCCACTAATTGCTGCCTTAAGATCCGGATTGCAGTATGTTGGCAGATTCCTGGATCATATGTATATATATATATATACATTGTGTAGTGTGCCTGTTATTTTCCATTATCCCTGTCTAACCCCTCTATTTTACCCAAATCCATATATATATATATATGTATATATGTATCATACACTACACAGTAGTTTATATTGTCTTTTCCATGATCCCTGAGCCCTATACAAGCCCATTTTTTTTTAAAAAAAAAAACTCTGTACAATCTCAAACATTCCTGTAGCTTCCAATTCATTTCCCGTTATCCCTGGATAACCCCCATTAGATCCCCCTTCTAGACTGGAGGCCTCGAGCCCCAAAAGATAAACCAGCTCTCATGGGACCCGTCTGCATAAGGTTGATAGCCTAATCGTCGGCAGCCGGGTGTTACGATGTTTGTAGAAATGGTCTTCTTGCCGCCTCCAAAATCATCACAATAGAGAGAACTGCTGGCAATCGACAACTTGCAGTCTTATCCTCTTCACTAGGACCAGTATGCTCACGACGTTTGTTCTCAATGCTACGTAGTCAGGCTTTTTTGGCGTTCCATTTAGAGTCCCCAATAATTATAATTAAGCCTCCAAGGATTGATTGACGTCGACAGACTTCAATCTCACAACTATGGCAAGTTCGCGCTGCTTTTTCCGCCGCCACAGCAGGCTCCCCCGCGTGCAACGGTAGCTACTGCAGAAGACCTGAATACTGGTAAGTGGGGTCCTGAAGTTCTGCCCTTCGCAACAGTCGGAGTTCCGGGTGCTGCAGCAGCAGAACATACCTCGTCAAGTAGACTACTGGACGGAGCTTACATACCGGGATCAAGTTGAAGCAAGAACAGGTACAATCTGAACTACTCTGTACAGAGACACTACACGTATGCACCGCCACCACATACGCTGCACACACGAATTGTGTGTGTGTGTGTTGTTTGTGACACTCATTGCACAAATCTATGGGTGTCCTTCGCTCGGTAACATGCCGATGAACACGAGCTTGTGCAGCTGTACAAAATTATACATCACTCATACAAAGATCAGGACCTTTCTGTATCATGCCGTAATATGCCATGCCATAAGGTAGCATACTGGGCATGGTGTTCATGTTCCCGTTGCAACTTGACATACGGAAGCATGTGCGTGCCTGCAGCAAGTGTGAGCGCATGTACAATGGCATGCACCTGCGGTTGCATCTGTCTAACCGTCCGTCCATGTCTTGCGAGGTGGCATACACGAGCACAGGAAATCAATTCCAGTCAAGCTTTGCTGTTTAAAACAGAACCTACATGTCTCGACCAATAAAAAAGAACAGGTGGTTGGAGGCCAGTATTCAGTCCGCTGCAGTCTAGAGATGTGCTGCCCCTCAGCACAAGCTGTTTTCTAAGCTGGTCCATCCAGGAATCTGACCTGGTTCTCGTTGGGGCTTAGGGCGTCGGGGTCTAGGTTCTTCTTTTCGACCGTAAGGTTTGGGAATGTCGTGGCTGACCATCAATCTCGAAGCCTGGAAAATTCTCTGCCAATGTACACTGGGCTCTTAGATTTAGAACGAATTGGATGAGAACCCTAAGCAACGGAATCTTGTGCACAGAAGGCCACGCAGGAAGGCAGAACCCCTGAACCCTGCAGCCCCCTAGTAATCCCTTTTTGAGATTACCTTATAAGATTCCAAAACATGAACCCCCAAAAAGGAACTACTACGGTTGATGGACGAAATCCTGCATGACCTTATATACCTGAACTATGGGATTTATGGTGGTATACTATATTTGGGTCATGCAGGATTTTGTCCATCAGCAGTATGGGGCCTATGGGTAAACAGCTGACCCGAAAGCTCCCGCAACTGCCTCGGAGGCCGTTGACCGGATGAGGTTTAGGGTTTAGGGTTTAGGGTTTAGGGTTTAGGGTTTAGGGTTTAGGGTTTAGGGTTTAGGGTTAGATAGGGTGCCGTTCTAAACAAAACGAAGCTGCAGCGGGGCTGGGATGTACGCCTTTCTGTTTCGGACGTGTACAAATGCAGTATGTGAAAAGCAGCTCTAGGTCGCATATTCCCCCTATAGCCCCTACCGTAATTCAGATAGTCGCACCAGAATAGATTTACACCAAACCCTTCAGGGCACGATATTAACAACCTATAAACGCCTTCGAAACAACACTGTTAACAATCCTACTCCAAGATCCTTCGCCGACCCTCGACAGACTGAACCAAAAGGTTCCGCATTGGGCTGAGAAGTCAAGTTTAAGGGGTTATAAAGTCTATACGTTTCAAGCATGAGGTTGTAGGATGTTGTAGGATGCCGCTCCCTCCGGCCCCTGCTCATCCTGCTTATGCTTATAGGGTTTGGGGTCTGGGGTTCTACGACTTGTCAATTATGTAGGCTTTGAGGTTACAGGCCTCAGGAATGCTAAGAGTGTGGCATTAAGGCAATAAGGCTTTAAAGGGTTCACAATCCTCAAGACTCAGCTGGCTCCAACTCTACAAAAAGGCCAATAACCCTGACCGGGACTTGAAGAAAAGGCTTGGAGGTGAACAGAATTCAAGGCGCATCCCTTCGAGGCAAACTGAATCCCAAAAGACTCTTTTTGCTTGCAGCTGTTGTGCCCAAACCTTTCTGGAATGCAGCAGCTGCCTCATGCCAGGAAGGAGGCCCATGCATAGTGGCTGAGAGGTCCGCAGACCCGAAGCCCAAAGCCATGATCCCACAAGATTAAACCCCAACCTCAAACCAAAGAGGTTTACAGCAACACAGGTTAGGCTCCTGCCAGCGGCCTTTTGTTTGAAGCCCTGTGAAGCCCGCAAGCCTCGAGCATGGATGCCCAAGACTCAGGCCCAGGCCCCTTTGTATCCAGCTACGACCTTCGATCGTTGCCGGAATCTCCCCTCGCATCTAAGCTTTGCCTGAAGAGCAGGGCCGGATCGTCTGAGTTGCTGAGGTTTGGGAGTCTTGGATGTATTGGCGGTTTTTAAAGGATCATGGGACTTAGTAAGTAGGGTTATAACTAAGATAACTATACTTATAACCCCAAGTAAGAGAGTTATAACCTTACTTACTAAGTCCCATGATCCTCCAAGTATATGAGGGTTTCCGAAAATAGGGGACCCTGATATAGTACCCTAAATAGTAGGATCCTTATTATAAGGGCCCCAAAATAAGGTACCCCTAATTTTCGGAAACTCCCATATAAAGTCTTCCGTTCGTGGAAGACCAAGCTCCGAACCTTCAAACCCTGCAGCCTTCCCAAAACTTGGCTGGTGGGTTTAGGGTTTAGGGTTTAGGGTTGAGGGTTCGCTTCTGGGATCCCTTTAAGGGCTCATGGCTTGGCAACTTGGAGGGCTCCTTTTAAGGGGAATAGGGTCTATAAGGCCCTCCAAAGTTAGAATAGGGTTTGTGGGTATTTTATACTATTGTTATAACAATCAACCGCCCAAATAATATTAGTAAATATTTAGGCCCCTATATTTGGGTTTAGGGATTATAATGCCTTTAGGATGATGGCCAAGGGGTGCACTTCGGGATGGGCATCGGGCCCTCACAGCGCTCACCGAGCCCAGAGCATGGGTAAACCGAACTAGACTGCCCCTTTACCAACTACACGGAAATAACCACGGGATAGCGAGCAATAGTGACCCTAAACCCTTTTTGCAAGTGGAGTGACCCTAAACCCTAAACCCTTAACCCTAAACCGTTTTAATAGTGATGCGAACAACAATCGAAAATGGAAACATCGACAAACCCAAGGCAAAAAACCTACTGAGACTCCCCAACCCTGCCCCGGCCCTCTTGGACTCCCATGGACTGCGTCCTACGGTTTGCACTTTAAGGTTCAAGGTTTAGGGCAAAAATAAAGATATATAGGGCCTGTAGGGTTTAGGGGCACGTCTTGAAACCATGAGCCGGCAAAGATTAAACGTGACAGAAGTCAAAAAAGCTCCAAATCGCGAGGGTAGAGGTCGTAAAGAGTCCTGCGCAAGCAAGCCCTATAAACCCTAAACCCTAAACTGTTGTACTATAAACCCTACGCTCTGTACACTGAAATACCTTGCTTCTCTGGAGACTGCTCCGTCTCCGGCTCCAGAGCTACACACCTCGCTGGCTGGGACGACTGGGCTTCTTCCCTCAGTATGCCAGCCTTTGGGGCTGAAGCTTAGCGATTCGTATGGGCTGTCATTTCTGAGGTTATTAGTTTATGGCTCTGGATGTGGATTTGGGTATGAAGGCAGTTTCGAAGGTCAGGGCTCAGAATCGGCACGTAATAACTCAGGCTGCATGAGACGCAAAATGCTGTTGGCAGAATCGGATGTACGTTCAATTCACCCGGGTTCCCAAGTAACTGCCATCCCACCTCGGGCTTATCTCCTACGTGCCAGTGCTCTTCCCGGCTCCTCTTGGACAACTTGGACAACTGGAGTGTGCGCTAGGCCCTAAACCCTAAACCCTAAACCCTAAACCCTAAACCCTAAACCCTACTAGTAGTTTCACTAATGTTTCTACTTACGACTGCTGCCGCTGTTGCTACTACAACCACTAGCACTACAACTACCACTGCTCCCGCTCCTTCTCCTAGTCCTTCTCCGTCTCCTTCTCCTACTCCCACCACCACCACCACCACGACTACTACTATTACTACTACTACTACTACTACTACTACTGCTACTGCTACTGCTACTACTACTACTACTACTACTACTACTACTGCTACTGCTACTGCTACTGCTACTCCTGCCTACTGCTGCTGCTGCTACTACCATTAATGTTACTACGGCTCATTTGGCGAGTATTGCTTTTGCTATCGGTATTATTACGGTATTCTAGTTCTTATTGCGACTATTACTATGATTTGCATTGTCATTATCATTCTTGTTGTTCTTGTACAGGTCATCTTTTACATGAATAATCCCACACCTTGTGCACATAAGGCCTCTTCTAAGGAGCCGACTCTGCTCTTGCATCGTCACCCGTGCACCAAAGAGTTTTGGTTTTGCCTCGTAAGACAAGAACTCACGCACCTAGGGGTTTTGGGCTCGAGCGACCCGGACGACGCAGGCGAGGCTTGTCCAGGTTCGATGTTCCAACAGCTGCAATTCAATTCAAGAGCTTCGAGAGCAAAGGGTTATGAAATAAGACGTTGGGACTTCGGAAGCTCACCACGCTAAGCGCATGGCACGGCGTCTCTGCCGCTCCTACCGACGCAGATGAGCGGCAAATGCTTCACAGATTGGACAAGAGACTAACAACAAGAATCGCGCACCAACCGAACGGTGTCTGAGTGTGCACTTGTTGCTTCTGTCCGTATATGCTCCACACTGATCGACAATTACCATCAGAAGAGCTCAGCAATTACTACGCGGCACAGTAGCCGGCAGTCGGGTACCATGCATGATTGTTGTGCACAAATTTATGCATGTCATGTCAGCACTGAGCAGTTCAACGCCTCGCATGCGCTCATGTGCTTGTGAGGTGTGTTGCCATCACAGGTTTGTGGCTGCAGACAGATCGCTAGCCTGACCGGGTCCAACCTGTGGGCGAAACGTGGAGCTTTTAGTGCCATCTTGGTCAACACACTCTTGCGTGTGGCTTGGAGTGTGCCCTTCAATTGTAGAGTGTACAGTCAGTCCAAACCCGAAATTGCCCAAAAAAACGCCCAACAACACCAAGCTCAAAGCGCATCTTGCTTAGAATTATGCGGGGCTCGTCGAAGCCCGCGGCCCTGAAGGAAATCCTGAACCCGAGGTTGGACAGGTAGCTGCATAAAGCACTGGAGACGAAGGTGATATAGGGGCCTTAGTAAGTAGAATAGGGTTTCGGGGTATGCTATACTATATTTATAATATGTGATATCTGCGAATATGATGGTGATGATTCTGCTGCCGGTCCTTGTGTCGATACTGGCGGTGGATGCTGTCGAATCAGAGACAATAATGAGGAGTGTGCGAAGGCTCTGGGTTGCTGCAGTCCTGCCAGCCAGTGCGCGTCGAAGTCGCTGTCTCTACCCGTGGCTGCGATAATCTTTTCGCAGAAGTGCTGATAGCACGCGGGCCTTGCTTCTTCCAGGGGTTCAGGCTCAAGTTGTCTTTCTATGTGGGGCGAGCAGTCGGAACAGCTTACAAGTTTATGGCCGCAAGATGCCGCAAGCCCGAAACCCTGGCTGATAATTAGGGCGTGCTGGACTTCATCACCGAGCGGTAGCCATAATAACGGCGGGCTCCCGAACCGAGCTGCTTGTGCAGGTGCAGCCTAGGACACCACCATTCTCCACAAAGTTCATAGTTATCCGGAGCAATCCATTACGCAAAAACCTATTCAAAAAAAAACATGACAGCCCCCGAGCCTGAACTCTGAATTCGACGCCCTAGGAACCTGGGTATTCATGCTTTGCTCATGCCTCTCATATCACACGTCTACAGGCTTTGGATTCAGCACGGAAGTCTGCTTCCGGGGGTAAGTTTCTCAAGGCTTCGGGAGTGAACCCTAGGAGTGCAGAGAAGCTTTCAGGGTCAAAGCTTCGGCAATACTGTGTACAAGGCGTGACATGTGCGTCCTGGTAGGCCCTGCCCAATCTGCAGTTGTGCGGTTTATAAAGTTCTTCCGTGAATCGGAAGTCCTGAACCTGCCTGAACCCTGACAGAAAAATTCCACCGAAGCCAAATCCAATCATGTCGGACCCCTCCCAAGATTGTGGCAAGTGGCACATAGAGCTCTTCCGCTCCGAGGCAAACGGTGGGCCCTGTCAACGTAGCCTTGCCATCTACGCCTCGGGCAATGGCGTGAGACCTTGTAAGTCTATAGGCCCAGGCGATCCGACTTGAAGAGTTTGGTATGCAAAGGTCTGGAGCTCTGATCGGAGAATTAATGCTAGGCTCTATGTCAAATGGAGACCAAACCTGACAGATTAGAGAACCAAGTCTGACACTTAGATTCTTGACTGTCTGCCCGCGATATGGATTCGCAGTGTGATGTCCATGCTCTAGATAGGTATGGAGCTGAAGCGCCACAGGAAATGATACCGAATCAGGTTGCTCGTCAGTTTATCTTACCTTTGAAAATGCAGCCCAGGTAAAATCGGCAACAATGCTATACCAGTTACATACAGCAAACATACGTGTACATATACAGATATACATGAAGAAACACACATAACTCAATTCCGCGACCTTAAACAGCCTGTGTTCGTACTGCGTACTGTACGGCATGCCACGCTTGATACAACCGTGGTCCTGAGCCAGAGCCCAGAGCCGTAAAGTTCCTGAGCATTCGACCTTGAACTTAGGAAGCCACACCATCTTTCTTTCAGCCTGCACCGACAGCCCGAAACATAAAACCCTGCAGCTCCGAAGTGAGTCAGAATTCCCAACAGTATAGGGATCCTGTGTCATGACAAATTCTGGGCTCTCACGGCCAGCCCACAGCTCAGGGCTTAGTGCTTGCATCGGTGGGTCCGCAATGACGGAGTGATATGGGAAAAGCCAAGTGATTCACAAGGCATGAAACAGAGGTCCATAGCAATACTTTCGTATACCCAAAAAAACCCTCTTTCAAGTACTACAGCCGCGTGCGAACGAAACCGGCTGAAAAGCTTACGAGGCCCTAAACCCCGAGCCCCAGGCTCTTCAGGTTCATGATGGCTTTCCTCGGATGTTGATTTCGGAGTTTCGAGGGGTATAAATTTGTGTCTATATGTGTATGTGTATGTATATATATATATATATATATACATGTGTGCGTGT